CTCTTTTTCCATGACCACATTCTCTTTCCTGATCTAATTGGGGGCAGGGGGGGGGGACACCCTGAGCCAAAATCGGCTTGTTTCCAATTTAACTAGACTTTGGTCCCCAAAGAATCCTGGTTATGCAAGGAACAAAAATAGCCTTTAACAGTATTAATCTCATTAAGTCTGATTGTGTGAACCTATTTGCCTTAGCTTCTTTCTGAGTTTTGTCAGGAAATCTGGTCTGTACCTTTATGATAGACTTCGGAGAAGGAAGATGTAATCAGTGTGATAGCTAGGAACACAGCAAACCAATTACCTTTTTTAATAGTAATTGATCAGATTCAATTATGTTGGAGATAAGAGGAATGAATGATACAGGTTTTGCATACAAAGACTGATACACCATTGCCTAGATTATTATTTTTTATTATTATTGTTTAATGTCTGGTTAATTCCTGAAGAGATTGAATTTATTTTGAAAGAAAATGTCCATTAGAAATTCAGCCTTTACCAGACCAAACAACGCAGTATGTTAGTACTGAAATACACACTATTTAACATTCTGCAGAAAATATGCAATGTCATGTTACCGAACATGAATAAGCAAATCTTTGGTTTGAAAAAGCAGGCATGACAAATTGAAATGGTGACCTTTCTCAGGCTGTAAATACAAGGCCGAAACAAGGTCAGTAAGAGTCCCTAAGGCACCTCATGAACATATTATTATTATTATTTAGTGATATGAAGATTAAGCACAAAAGATCAAAATCAAAACAGATTACAAACAACCAAGGAGCTGGTTTGATGCATTCCAGTTAGTCCACCATTCGTTTAGCAACTGTTCAAAGTTGCGAGCGCTGAAAAAAAGTGACTGACAACCAGTCCTCACACTTATGACTATTGCAGCATCCCCAAAGTCATATGATTGCGATTTGGGCATTTGGCAACCGGCATGTATTTACAATGGTTGCAGTGATCTGGAGTCATGCCATGATAATTTGGGACCTTCCCAGCTGGCTTCCAACAAGCAAAGTCAATGGAGACGTCGGCAGGGAAGGTTGCAAATTGTGATACCTTGCTTAACAACCGTGCCCCCCCCCCCCAAAGTTGCAAAATTGGGTGCAGTCACTATTTACTTAACAACACTACCACTTAACGAGGAATTTCCTTGTTCCAATTCATGGTTGTAAATTGAGGACTACCTGCGGAATATGATGGAAAATCTAACAGCTGGGAGAACATATGGAATAAGTTGACTCTTTTTCCTGCCTGTTCTTTTCAGAACTGAAATAGCTTTCATCAACCTGGAGCCTCCTCAGGTAGAATAGGACACTATCTGAAACATCTGTCAATTGTGTTTCCAAAACAACAGAAAGGAAAGATATTCTAGAATTTGTTGGTCTGCATATTGGAAAAGCTGGAGACAGGAGCAAAATGCCACCCACACACAGACTGTTTTGCATTATATTGCCGGGATTATATTTCATTTGTAGTCAGGAGATGAATAAAAAAATAAAATGAAGGACAAAGGATTGTAAATCATGCGTTTTATAAGGGTTAAGGAAATACAGTGTGTACCTGTACCTTAGCATAGCAAAAGGCACTATAATAATGGCCTGGACCTACAGCATTCTAAAAAAGAGGAGCGATAAATTGCAACATAGTGTTTTTCTTCATTTAAATTAAAAGATGACCTCTATTGTGCTATTTGGGCAAACAGGTTTTGGAACCGAAGTCAATTTATTAATCAAGTAATTTAATATTTATTTTTCTTTAAATGTTTAAAAGACTTTATCAAAATAAACCATCAGTGTTATTAAGAAAGTTAAAGTTCATGGATCTGGATAGCAGTTCTCCGGTTTGTCTAACTACATTGCCTTACACACATATATAAAATACATTTTAGTAAATAGTTGTATGAAGCCCCAGCAGGTAGATCAGTTTTCAAGCTTAGATGCGCAATTCTTTGGATGTACTTGATTTCAAGAGCCAAATTCCTAATCATAATGGCTGAGAATGTAATCATAGGGTATTACATGAAAATAGCTGAAAGAAATCTACAGGTCAGTCCACTGATGTTCTAAGGCAGGAGTCTCCAAACGTGGCAATTTTAAGACTTTTGGACTTCAACTGCCAGAATCCCCCAACCAACCATGCTGGCTAGGGAATTCTGGGAGTCAAAGTCCACAAGTCTTAAAATTGCCAAGTTTGGAGATCACTGTACTAAGGGGTCCCACTGACATCGCAATGATTGTTGTAAATATCTGTGCATACTTTTAATACCATAGAAATATGGATCACTATAGATCATCCATATTAAGAACACACAGTGATAACTTTTAGATTGGAGCAGATAACTATGATTGCTGCAGTGTTATACCTGCAACTCTAAAAGTGAGAGCAAGACATTCCCAGTTCTTCAGGCCAGATTATTTACACTACATGCAGTGGTCGTGCATGCAGGAGCTGTGTCTATGCACAAAGTTGGGTTTTGGCCACAAGTTCATCGTTCTAAGAATTGTTTTAGAGTAGGTAGCTTAGAGCAGAATGTGAATCATGCCAAGGAAGGCTATTGTGCCAGCAGTTTGCATTCATAAGTTAAGAGAATCTTTGCTAAGAGACTGAGCAAACTCAGTAGAGTGGAAATAAATGTAGGCTTAGTTAAGCCTACATAGCCCTGTTCAGTGGCTCTCATGTAGCTCTGTGTGTGTGTGTGTGTGTGTGTGTGTGTGTGTGTGTGTAAGGAGATGGGATGAACAAACCCTTCCTATCCTGTTCTCACTACCTTCTATATGTGAAGGGCAGCTGTACAGTAAGACTCCTCTCTGAGTTACAGAATCTTTGAACAATTGATTTCAATGTGGAGAAGCAAGTAGAGCATGAAAGAATAGTAGAACTAGCTAGCCCCCATTCCTCTTTTTTTCCTCACATATAGAGCTCAGGCAAAATAGCTATTAATGCCTCTTAATGTGTTTTCATGTTACGTACATTTATGGAAATATTCCTGTCTGCAATTTTTATCTTTTATAACAAGATGGGGGTAGGTAGCTCGCTCGAGACTAATGTTCTTTAAAATATTCACTGAAATGTCTTTATTTTATATTTATAGCTTGTAAATTTCAAATCTGAAAGCTCCTTAATAAACTGCTAATCATTTTTTTAAAATTTAAATCATTTTCAATATGCTTTAAGAACGAATTTGCAGCTGCAGGACACATTCATAATTATTAAAAATGTAGTCCTGTTGAACCTCAACTCATCCATTCCCTCTGTGCCAGCAGCCCCTTCCTCCTGTCATTGTTGAGCAGCAAAAATGAAAGAGGAAAGCTCCTCCTTAGAGTTATGTATAAAAATTCTCTTTTTTATAATCCCATCTATTCTTAAGCAGCAAATATTTCCTTTCTTGCCCGAATAAATCCAGCTTGGACTGGATTTCACTTCAAGAAAGAAAAATGATTAAAATGATGTCCTGTCTAATTAAGGAACTCAATTGATTGCATAGCCATTGGAATTTAAAGCAGTATTCATTTGCAATGCATTCATTTTATTACACTGTGACATTTAGTGAGTTAATCAGTAAAACCGATCAAAACTTTTATTGCTAAAAAGGTACCCTGCATAATTGACCAACTGATGTTGTTATTATTATTATTTTTAAATAACAAGGATGCTTTTTTGTGTAAAGTTATTTTGTTCCATTCAGACTCCATTTCAGTTGATCAATTAGCTGGCTGTTTTAATTATGTCTTTGACTGATTGATAGCCTGAGTTCTTACATACAAGTAGAATAATATATTTATTTTGTTCTGGGTGGACCTGGCTAGCTACTTCTGATTTCACCCATCACAAACAGATCTTGGAGTACAGTTTTAAGGCTTAAATTCAGTTAGTGCTGCCATATTTATATCTTCAGCTATGTAATACTGACTAGGGAATTCTACATAAATATCTGGCACTGCTCCCAGAATTTTCATCCTTACATGTTTCAAATCTTGACTAAACTCAGAGAAATATTGGGATATTAACTGCAGCTCCTCATCTACCCAACTGGGAATTCCAAGTGCACGTATAACACACAAGCAGCAAAAATATTTCAGGAATTCACTGTGCCAATTAGTTTCATTTGAGAACAGCACAAATGTTGAGAGGTAGGAAGAGTTAAAAAAGAGAGAGCAACTGTTTTAACAATAGCTGGATCTAGTTCCAACCATGGGACCATTTCCTGAACCAACGTCTGCTCAGATTTCTCTTGCTGGTGTAATGGGGGCATTTCGGTATAGAACCCAGTTTTATTCCCCTAATATTGTGGACCATAAGCAGCTTCAAAAAACTGCAGGAAAAGCAGTGAATTGGGAAAGACAAGCAGTTCTCCCATTTTATTACATGGATTCTTCTCTTGGATCAGAAGTCACCAGTGATGGAGAACCTTCTATCCACAGAAGATAGATGCTCAGATCTAATTTCTAGCATGATAGCAGAACTTCGCCTTTCATTGCTATTGCAATGAAAACTGATTGCATGAAGCAGTCATTATGATGTGTTCCTCTGCCCTTCCCTTTGATTTATGGTCTCCTTTAATATGTTTCATTCCATTGTGCTTCAATATCAAATCTGTTACCCAGCTACCTACGTAGGACTGAAAGAATGCAGTAGGGAAGAGAGAAGGAGCAGCTTAAACACAAACTAGCAAATTAACTGGAAAATAAGAATACATCAACTGCTCTGATCACAGATACACCACATATTTCTTACCTGGTTCTGATCAAGCATCATATGCAATAGCCACCAGCTAGTTACACTTTAATGCACTTTAAAAACTGTACAATTGTTCATGTTCCTAACACATGCTTGATGGCTATTAGTCCGCTTGTTTTTTTTAACCATTCTGGTAAAAGCATGTCAAGCTTTGCAAAGGATTCTGTACCCCGTTCTGGTGTCTTTTCAGTCATACCAAAAACTTGTGCTCATTGAAGTTCACCCTTTTCTTCTTCTAATGCAGCATTTTCCTTTTTCAGGTGTGGCCCATTTCCTGTTCACTTGGAGCCACCTTTGGCTACGTGGCTGGTCTCCTTATTGCATCTTTGTGGATATATTGGAATAGGAAGCAGCTTACATACAAAAGCAGATAACTGGCGCAAGGAGGAAAGGCATTTTGATTGTGAAGATTGCACAGGGCTATGGTCAAAGCAAAAGGCTTTCCAAATCTTTTCAGGGCATTGTTGGGCTTTACTCTTCTTCTTCTTTTTTTTTTTACAGCATGGTCAACATGCACTGGCAATGCGATCATACATTTGTTGTATGTCCTAAACTACATTTCCCCTGAGAGATTGTACATTCCTTCCCATATGAATAAAATCTTCACAGTAGATGCTGCTTACTTCTTCTCATACTTGTGATTTTCTCCCTCCCCCTCTGGGTTTCACCAAATGCCAGTTCCTAAAATCCGCTTCCCTGTCAATTAGTGGATTTCTTAATAAGGTGTTGTTGTCTTGAAGTGTATATTTGCACAGTGTCACAAGTTTCACAGTACGTGTGGCCATTGTCCCAGCAGCTCTCATGTGATCAGGCAGCAATTAATGCATCTTGAACCTATTCTCTTTTTCATTGTGTGTTTCTTTGGAGTTAGAATGGCTATAATGGCTTCATCAAAAACAGTCTTCAATCCTTTCTGCGTTAAAGCTGAGCATTCCACATAGCAATAGGCTCCTATCTGTCAAGAAAACAAATGCATTTAATAGCAACATAGACAGCCTGCATCTCCCCCAAACTCTATTAGTGAACTCAGGGGGCTTTCATTTTTATTGAAACATCAATGTTTGTTTTTTGATTTGTCTTTGCCCTGAGAAAAACACTCCAGCCCTCTACCTTCCAGAAAAAAGTTTGTCTTTTGGTGACAGATATAGAATTCTTTTCATTACATTCACGGTTAGGGGGGAAAAACATTAAATACACTGGTGTTTTCAGTTTGTTTTACTTTCGGCAGTATATTTGTATCTTGAGTCATTTTAGGAAGGTATAAAGAACAAATGAAGTGTACTAATATTTAATGCACAAACAGGGATTACCATCAATCAGAAAATTTCTACGGCTAAATACATTATCACTCCTGATATAAATATTATACTTGAGACTTCAAATTCAGATGACTATTTTAATTTTCTCAAATGTATTCTCACAGTGTTCCATTGCCTTATATTGAAGTAGGTTATTTTTCAATTATTGAAAAATACTACATGAACTCTTACTTAATAGTATTTAATACTATATATTATTCACAAACAAAACAGCTGTATTAACAGATAAGATTATGGACTGCTTAATTCTTACACAGCTGCCTTTAAATGTAGCATAAAAATCTGCATCCTCGCTCCTTCTCACTGAAAGAGAAAGAAATATGAAAATAACTTGCTCATTGTTTTCAGTGGCACTGGTACATTTGAAAAACACAGAAATGCTAGAAGTTTATTCCCTGAGATTATGGGCACATGCTTCCCATGCCAAACAATACTGGCAGCTGGCAATGCAGGAAGTCTGGAAAGAAGTCACATATGGAGGGAAATGTGGAACAAAGCAGTATTAAATTTTAGGGATAACTAAATGTAAGAAAAGTTAAGGCAGAACCAACCTGCAGAAAAATCTCTCTGTTTGCAATTAGTCTAAATGCAAATCCTCCACATCAGCTTCCTTATGGCCCTTGTCCACACTAATTGATGTGATGCATAGTATAACATATAATCAGGAGAGCATTTGGTTAGGGAAGTATTGTGATTATACCCTTTATCTGGAAATAATTGAACTTAAGGGCAGTTGTTCCCCCCTGAGTCTCTATCTTTTTTTTTTATTGAAAATGCTATACTAATGTCTGCTGGTTTTATATTTTTGTTTACTTTATTTAGAGATATGTCTTCTATGAGGGTGAAGGTTTGTTCTCTGGGCTTGTGGGTTAGTTTCCGAATGTTTCGTTATGTCCTCTACATCCAAGGATTCAAAGGGATTTGCATGGAGATACACTTCCTTGTTGCCACGAAGCAGCAACTTTCAAAGTACAGGTAGACTTTGAGTTATGATGGCATTCCTAGCAGCCATTGCAACCTCAGGATGTTTGGATTGTTAAGCAGGGTGCACAATGTAGTAGATAGGAGCTATGACATGTGGATGTGCTACGGACTGTAAGTAGGAACTTGTACTCTTTAGTCAGCTCCTCAGGAGTAAAAACAGCAGGAGTAGCTTACTGGGGTGACATGCAACCTTCCCTGGCAGCTTCCACATTGACTTTGCTTGTGGGAAGATGATAGGGAAGGTTGCAAATGGAAATCATGTGATGGGGCACACTGACACTGTAATTGTAGCTGAGCATCTGGATTGCAGTCACATGACCATAGGAATGCTGCAACGGTTGGAACTTTGAGGACTGGTCATAAGTCCATTTCTTCAGCACCGCTGTAACTCCAAGCAGTTGCTGAATTAATAGATTTAAATCAAGGATTACCTGTAGGTTGGGCTGATCCTTTTGTATGGATGCTGCAAGTCTTTTCATACAGAAAGATAAAATCAAGTAGGGGAAATACAATATGCATACTGTAATACCAAGAAGATTTGAACTCTTAAATCTCCAGCTTACCTCTTTTGCTAATTTAACGCCCTGCTCCATACATATTGGTTTTTCTTTCATGTCATTTAGCCTTGCTAATGTTTTAGGATCATCACGAAGATCAATCTGTTAGAAAATTTACAGAAGATATGTACACTTCCTTCTACATGTTACGAATCAAACTTTACAGACTTTATCAAATAAAGAAAATAGAAGTAGCTCCAATACAAGGTAGCAATGCTGATGTCTCACAGAACAGCTTGGGGTTTAAATTAGGCATGATTAATATTGAACTTGGTGAGATTTAACCATGCTAACTCAGGCTAATTCAATCTATAACCTTTGCTTTAACTGGAATCTCAAGCCTATTTCCATAAGGTACATTGTGGTTCAAATGAACTATGTGCAAATTAAAAGGCCCTATGACATTTCCAGAGAATGCCCTCAAAAGGCATTCTTCCAAAATTTTAGCTAAACATGCAAAAAGCCAAGAGCACAGAATAATCAATAATTTGAATATGAGAGGCGGGGATTCTTTTATTTTCCTACTTATTTTCATTCTTCTGTTTATTCGGAGACCAAAGATTAATTAAGGAAAAAGTTTGGAGGAAATGTGCAGAAGAAAATTGGTAGCTGGAAGAAAGACTAAATGTTCCTCAGGTCATTTGTAATTACGTATTTGTTCATTGATTTATTTCACTTAGGCACCACCAACTACTGAAAGCAACAGGCGTACAAATTACATTTTAAAAAAAGTAAACAAAATGGCAAATCCAGCCGAAGTCACAAAATATATATCATGCACCCAGCAAGGGGCTTCATCCATCTCAGCCAGAACCTGAGAAAAAAGCCAGGTTTTCAAGGCATCATCTGAGAGGGAACTTGAAAGTATCTACTGGTAAACTGGTGCTTGTGAAACAGTTATTTCACAACAACTCCTGTCTTCAGCTTCAGAATAAATTACGGACCTTTGTGGTTTTAGGGATACAGATGTGGAGAGCCAATTTATTTTTGGCTCAGCTGTGGCATATTCGAAGCCATAGTAAAACTTGCCTTTTAGAATTGCTGCATGCTCTATGGAGCTAGCTTGTTTCTATATTTGTGAGCTCCCTACTGCTGATTCAAGCAGGTCTTTCAAGGTAAGAGTGAGCTGATGGATTTGCAGCCAACTCATTCATAGAAATCAGTTAGATATATTGCATAGAGATAAGGTGGGGGTGGGGAATACAAGCATTTTTAAAATTTCCTTGGTGCGGAAAAGGAATTCGGGAATTTCCAGCTTTCTAGCATCAGTGACAAGGCAGTAAATACATAAAAATATTTGCTCATTTTTTCCGGTGCATGAAGTCTACCTGATTTTCAAGAATTAGGGAGTAGGATTATCGATGATATGCCCTCAACGTGTAACTCTATCTTGAAATTTGGAATTAATTCCATGGTTAATTTTTCAAGATGAAAAAAAGAGGGAAATGGTAAGATGCATACTTTGTGAATAAAAACTGGGAGGGGAAAAAAGCAGGCTCTGCTTTTGCAGTAATATATACCTGAAACCATATATGGGGTGGTTGAAAAAGAGGATGGTCTTTTTTACCAGCAGATTACCCCCACATTTCTATTTGGAAAACCAGTGGTGGGCACTGAGCCCACAGATTGCCAATGTCACATGAGTAAAAAAAAGGTGAACCAATTCTTCTTACCCAGAGGGTACACAGTGATGTGTATCTATGTATACATTTATCAGCAAAGGAGACCACAAGACTCTTCATTCCATCCAAGTGCAACATGTGATACCCACACTTGTCTGAATCAGCTGTTTGGCTGATGATTGCTGCTTTATTGTTTGGGAGCAAACACCCTTTTTGTTCATAGGCAGAGCAGATCAAAACACAGAGCTTTGCTTTCAATTTAAATGCTGAAAGAAGTTTTAAAAATTCATAAAGAGGACAAAAGGGATGGAGGTGTTCTCAAAGGACTTGGTGCCCTAACAAGAACAACAAAAGTAGATTAAGATGCAGTTTTGTTTTCCCTCTTCATAGGGGGAGTTTCTCCATTCCATAGTTAATCTTTCAAAGTCTGTTTACAACTAATGGTGTTAATCACAGAAGGACTAGAGGGCTCCAGTTGTCACTTCTGGCTCTAAAATTAGATTTCTTGTTATTTTAGTTGCAAACTAGAAATGTAAGCCTACATGCTTGGAGAGTGCAAGGGGTGAGGATACTGTTGCTTGATCTCGAAAGAGGGAGAACCTACATTTTTGTGACAAAAGGAAATTATAGGTATTTAAACTTCTTCTGAATTGTAAGTGGTTAAGGCAAATATTTCATGGGAAAGGGTGGATTTGAAAAGAATATGCAGGAAAAAATAAAAATGGCAATATACTGAGAAGGGCATTGTGACACAAGAAACAATTAGAATGGGCACTTGAAGAACGTAGGAATCTGTTTAACAGCTGACAGTAATAGAGTTAGAGAGGTAAAGATCACAGGAAGGAGCATGTCAGTAATCTTTAAAGGCAAAAATGTGCAATGCATGTACTTTTGTAAAGGAAGAAGAAAATATCTTGTTACTTTGGATGGATGGACGGACAGGTAGATAGGTAGGTAGGCAGAGATAGAGTTAGATAGACAGAGAGACAGGTATTTTGAGCCACGTACCTGCGTTCCAACCAATAAATAAGGTACATTTGGTGCATATTCTTTAAGTTCTGGTACCCATTCCTCCTTCACATTCTGGAAAGAAGCTGGATTTACCACAGAGAAACAGATGAGGAAAACATCAGTCATGGGGTATGACAACGGTCTGAGGCGATCATAGTCTTCCTGAAGACAGACAGATACATATATACATATATTACTTTTCATTAAAAAATTGAATTTTGATCACAATCATTTCTAATAGCTACACATGCTGATGTTTCCAAGCAATTGCTATTCTCAGTATTCCATGCTAAATAAACTCAGAGTTAAAAGCCTTTTCCAATGTATTGCAGATTATACTTTCCTCCTATTTTTGGTCCATTTGGATGGTAGTACTACTATAAAAATCAGACAGTTACCTTCCCTGTCAGCTCTTATAATATATGGAGTAATGGATAAATTTCCAAGAATTATTTCACACACAGCAAACAAACAAAAAAACATCTTATTTTTCAAGACATTAAGCCAAGCTGTGGATGTTACTTGATTTTAATATTTTTGAGGAGTGTATAAAAGGACAACAACAACAACAACAACCCTGAATTGAACTGCTTGTTTATTTGGTGAGGTCCTCATCAAAATAAATTAATAGCATTTTTTCTGGATCAAATTAAACTTTTAGGAATAGATTATCCAAAATGGCCAATGAGATGTCAATAAAAGCCCACCTATAGGGCTCAAGCACAATGGGTGCCTGTCCTGATATTCTTAACATTTGGTACCCAGGACTTGCTGCCTCTCATCCTGGAAATAGCCTAAAACAGCTGTCACAACCAATTGATGTACTTTATCTAATATCTCTTTGAAGTCATTCATGTTAGTAGCCACAACATCTTGTGATAATTGTTTGAATTTCTGATATCATATATCTGTCATATCATATATATATATCTGTCTTGAATGTTTCATTATGCAGCTTCCTTGCAAGGGATTGAATATTCTTAATATATGGGATAAAAACTAATCCCTGTCCACTTTCTCAGCTCCATTCATAAACATTTCGATCACATGGTGTCTCAAACACTGTAGCTTTGCCTCTTTGGCTTCATTTCTTTCACATGTTGCTTCGATTATGGCCGCTCTGCCACACTAGAGAAGTAATAAAAATATGTTGTAAGATGCATTGCTACTTTCCATAAGGATAGAATTTCCTTTTTACATAGTACGTTAATATCTCTAGTGCTATCTGAGATGCGGTGACGTGCGGTGAGGTTTATGGCTGGTGAGACAAAAAGAAAGAAAACGGCTTTTGCTTGCCCCGCCACTATGTCCGACATAAAGGCGGGCAGCAGGGCGGGCAAAAGCCGTTTTCTTTCTTAAAAGAAAGAAAGCGGCTTTTGCCCGCCCCACCACTATGTCAGAGTCAGACATAGCAGGGAGCAGGCAAAAGCCGCTTTCTTTTGCAGCAAAAGAAAGCTCCAGCCCGCCAGCAGAGGCGGGTAAAAGATTACTTACAAATTACATTAATTTTGAATTCCTCCCCCTCCCTCCGACCCACATACCTTTTCCAGCTGTTTCACAATCACAGAGGATTTCAACTCTGCTCTTGCCTGCCATCATGAAAATGTAAAAATATAAAAGGAAAAAAAGCAAGAGCTGCTGAGGTCAGGCTGGGTTAGCTGCTGCTAGAGTCCCCAATGGATGACTCTGCTTAAGTGTTTAAAAAAGCCTCTAAAAAAAACGCCCTCT